GAGAGGTAGAAATCTCGTCTTGACTATCTACAATCCAGTACATGATTCGTTTCGTGCCTGATACACGCCTTTATAATCCTCCGGTTACGCAGGACGTTTGACGTATTCAAAGCACGCAACTCCTCATGTTTGATTCCGTAGATATCTCAGGTCTTAGGATCCAATCATGGAACCGCCATATGAGATTCAAGTCATGACGCTAGTCCATGTGACAATCTCATGCGGGTCAATCCCGTATTCCGTTCTCCAACGAATACCTATGACTGTGATCGTATCCAATACCTATGATCATCTCTATGATCATCAATCACACATCATACTAGTCTTATTATGTCGTTATTCCCATAACGACACAAGACTAGGGAGTTTAGTATCATTCATAATGATACATGGATTTCATAACAGATCTAGTATGCAAGAACATGTAATGAATCAAATACTCTCATAAAACTATAGAAAGTATCAATACATCGAATGTATCTAAAGAAAGCTCATAAACAGTACATCATAGAGCACTAAACCAACACTAACACCTTATCTCTCAACTGGAATAGCTCGCATACACCACGAGAGACGATATACTCTCCGATAACTAAAGCAGAAACGAATGAGCGAGACTGTTCGGACGTTCTAGAGATTTCCTTTGTAGAAGAAACAAGACATGGACCAAGATCGATGATCGCATCTGTGAAGAACATAACACCTATGAGATGAGTGATTTCATCATCTTCACGAATATGGATTATACACATTTTATTCATCAAGGAGACCCATCTTTCCGAAAGTTTAGCAATTCGCCTTGAAACTCGATGCCATCTGCAAGACATCGCCTCATTTTTGTTGCAACAGTTGAGTCTTCTGACGGATGCCTTCTTTTAGCAATAGGTCCTCTACATTGCAAGAAACGGCTGCAAAGTGAAAACACATAATAACTCAGGTTGGAAATATTTCAAATTTAATTCTTGTGGAGTAACATCAAGATCATAACAAAAATCTTGCTCATAATTTACCGTCAAAAGTGACCAGAAGCAAAGATATTAACAGTAGAAACCGTGTTTGATTTTGGAAACGATTCAAAAGAGCATACAAACAAATAAATTCAAGTGTTGAGATGTCTGGTGCAGGTTTTGAGCATTTTGAAACTATCATTTCTTTTTTAGTGGAAGAACAGTTTTCAGCCTATCATGTTCTTTTCCTATGGATCCAATTTCTAATTCCATAAACAAATAGAGATTTTGAGAGTTGGAAGAAAACAAAACCCAGATTTCTAAAATCTCCAAGGGTCCTAGATAATAGGGAAATGTTTTTCTATTATTGATAATTGGAAGAATACATCATAGTATATAGCAAAATACAATAGAATATTCTAGGCATAATATCTAGGACAAATCATAATCATATCAATGATGATATTCTAAGAATAATATCTTCCTATATATCCCCTCAAGATGAATCATCTATATGATGAATTCAATCTTGTTATATAAAAATTGAAAACTGAAATTATGATCGTATTAAACGAATCATCTTCCATTTGTTGGTGTAGTTCAGACTTGAGTCGGTGTTGTTTGATAACGTTTGAAGAGCTTGAGAGTTGTATTCTCAGAGGCTGATATGGCACGAAAGTGCGACGCGTATGCGTAAATTGGGTTGCACGATAATGAAGTCGCAGCGCAAAAAATTGCGGTGTATATAGCGGCTAGGCCGGAGAAAAAAATGGGCGCAAAAGCGCGACGCATAATGCGTGATAATGTAGCAACAGAGCAAGATAGAAAAAAAAAGGGACGTAAATACGTGGATCGGTGATCGGAGTTTTCCAATCGAAAGGTCTAAATGTCATGTGTAAAGATCTCACAACGATTAGGGTTGACATCGATAAACGAACATCGTCTGAAAAAAAAAGTAGCATATCGGCTAGAATTGACAGTGATGAACTCTGTCGTCGAAAAAAAATTAAAAAAAAAAAGAGCAAAGTGAATGGAAGACGATATTCAAGATGATAATACTATTGGATTTAGTATATATCATCATCTTCATCGTCGCTTTGGGTTTCAACTACCATTGTTGATGAGAAGAGAAAAAAAAAATCTAAAACGAAAACCGAAGCTCTGATACCATAATAGGAAAATGTTTTTCTATTATTGATAATTGGAAGAATACATCATAATATATAGCAAAATACAATAGAATATTTTAGACATAATATCTAGGGCAAATCATAATCATATCAATGATAATATTCTAAGAATAATATCTTCCTATACTAGAAATATCAGTAGAGATGCCCACATCATCATATATGAACCGCACTATTCCATTCAAGGATTGTCAACCAAGAACCAAATCATTCACTTAAATTCACCAATAAAGATACCTTCGTCTCTTTTCTCCAGTTAAAAACCATGTCTTTCAACATTTTCCTACACTTAATCCTCAGACCTAAAAGTATCTAACAACTCTCCTCACATTGAATCAAAATCGGACGGAATACAAGATCTCGACCAAGAACTTCCTCTGCTCGATACCCCGTGACCATCTCGAAAATGTTGTTTACGTATATGATTGGGTGATCAGACTCTAACGCTCGGTGATCACGATCCTACACAGCATCGTCCCAGAAAGATTTTCCACCGGAAATTGAATCCCTACCATATCTCCCCCATCCATCCATGTTCCGCCTCCTCGCCGTCGATGCTGAGATCGGGTTCACTATCCCACTCCAATTTTGTATACCCTAACCCGAAAGCTCGCAAATTTAGTCAAACTCAGATTCGTTCTTCTGATCTTCGGCGACAGGAGAAGAAACCCGGAAAATGAAATCCCAGAAAAAGTGAATTTTAGGCTCAGTGAAAGAAAAGGAGAAAAACGAAAACGATATTTATATGTACGCATATGCTTTCGCCGATTCCTTTCTGGTGGAAAGATCTTGGACTGATGATGAAACCTATCGAGTTTTATCCGATCTGCTATTTTCACCTTAATCGGGTCAGAATTCCTTCTTTCCCGGTTTAGAATATACCGAACCAGTTTCGGTTCAACGAAAATATCCAGCGAGTTAGGCAATAAGTTAAAAGACTTGCATTGTTCATCACATCTCCTGCTTACATATATACAAGTTAAAAACAACGTAAAATTCAGTACAAAATCCCAACAAAATCTACAAAACAAGAAATTTGCGGTTAATGGTTATCGCAAATCATCAATGGAGCAATCATTTCGTTTGACCCATGATACAAAATCCATAGCTTTACTATATTTTCGTGCCCTGCAATAACTCACGGTCGGATTCTGTATGCTATCATCTCAGAAAGTATCCTCAACACTTTTGAAGAACCCTTTTATGACAGTGTTATAAGAGACTAGATCAGATCTTAGATATGTCATGTCTAGGGCCTTGAGGATTTCTTCGGATTTCCAACATTCTCCTCTTCTGACATCATACATGTCCATCAGGTTGTTGGTTACAAGATCTGGGTTTATCCCGTGTTGGCGGATCCGTTGGAGAAAGAACCAGGGATCTCAAAATCATCCAGCTCGGGAATATCGGTCCTTCATTTATCTCCTGCTCATCTCTTTTGATCCCTTTGGAGTTTCCTCCGTTAGCAAACCCACTGAAGCATCAGACGTTTCAGTAGGTTTGAACCCTTTATTCTGCAAGTCGAGAATCACATTTTCACCTAACTCTAGCCCTTTTGTCCGGCCACGACATTGAAAGTATCAAGACGTGGGGTAAAACCAGCTTTTGTCATCTGACCATACATCTTCGATGCATCAGTCGTTGACTAGCAGTGTGCATACGAGCTGATCAATGTGTTGAGCGTGTCTCTGTCATGTTCAAATCCGCAACTTCTTATTTTATGGAGCACTTGATTCAAATAGTTATGCATACCCTTACTCTTCCCAGATATGGGAAGCATCTTATTCCATGATAAATGGTTTGTGGAACATCCATTACACTTTATTCTTTACTATTTCATCAGACTTCAACTTTGTGTCCAACATTTCAAGTACAACATTGTAGGGGCATGTATTTGGAACAAAGCCGCCTGGACTCTTTCATTATGTGAAACAACCTTAAAGAAGCTTATTCTTGTGACTGTAGTATAAGTGATTGTGGTTGGCTTTACACCCTTTCGGGTCTTTATCCGCAGCTTCCTTGTGAAAACTAGCTCTGACATAAGCGTAAACAAACTCATTGTATGTTACAGATTCCACTAGGCAATTGGTATACCCTTATCTCTTTCAGAAACACTTGATGCTTCTAAATAAACTCATGATTTGTCGAAAACTTGCAAGGAATAGTAAGTTACAGTTCCTAATTGATAACCCGGGGGATCGAAGTTCAGAGAATAACTCCTTTTCCTCAGTTAATAAACCCTCTCTTGCATAAGTAAATTCGTCGAATTGAAGCCATTTTCTCTTCATTTCATCTAAAATTATGTTTCAAGATTTACCCATCTTCCCATAAACATCAAGAATCAAGAATCAAGAATCACATTGTAAGTGACCAAAGTAGATGAAGAATCCGTCTCTTTCATCCTCTCAAACAAATTGAAAAAGTATGAGGGGCGGTTGTATTAGCACAAATATCAAGCAAATATTTTTCTAGAGGAATTTTATTGAACAACTTAGATGTAAGAGAGTATCGAAATTCTCTAACTAAGATGCTAACTATACGAAGGTTAGGGAAAGTGTTTTTCTTGTATTGCAAAATCATTCTGTACATGAGTTATATACACGCAGAAGAGAGTAACAATACAGCAGATATGGAGGAGAGATTTGATATAAACAATAATAGCGAGATATCCTTTTGACTTTTGACTCCTTCCTTTACGCCCCCGCAAGATGAGGCTCGTGTGCGAGACCGATCTTGACCCGCAAGAGATCAAACCGAGCTCGAGAGAGCGGTTTCGTGAGAGCGTCCGCGAGTTGATCAAGAGAGGAGACGTGAGAGACGCGCAGCAGACCATCACGAACAAGACCGCGGATGAAATGGTAGTCGATGGCGACGTGTTTCATTCGGGAATGAAACACGGGATTTGCACACAAATATGTCGCACCGACATTATCACAGTAGATAACTGGCAGTGTTGTTGGAGCAATGCCAAGCTCTGAGAAGAGAGATGCTAACCAACGGATTTCAGAGGCTGTAGAGGCGATAGACTTGTACTCGGATTCGGTGGAGGAGCGGGCAGCGGTCCGTTGTTTCTTCGAGGACCAAGAGATTGGGTGGCTTCCGAAATAGACAATATGAGCACTAGTGGAGGTAAAGTCATCACGATTACCACCCCAATCGGCATCAGAGAAAGCATGTAGTTCGGGTGAATTTTGAGAAGACATGAAGACGCCGAGACTGCAGGATCCAACAAGGTACCGCAAGACACGCTTCACCCCTATCCAATGCTCCGTAGTCGGCTTGTGCATGAATTGCGAGAGCTTGTTTCAAGCAAAGGCTATATCGGGACGAGTGAAGTGTAGATATTGTAAGCTTCCAACCACGTTGCGATATTCCGTAGGATCATCTAATGGAGAGCCCGATGTTAACATGAGGGAGGTCGTCGAAGACATTGGAGTTGAGACGGGCTTCGCATTAAGCATGTTTGTCCTCTTTAGAAGGTCGAGAATGTATCGTCGTTGATTGAGGAAGATGCCGGTAGGTGAGTGGGTGACTTCCACACCAAGAAAGAATGAGAGACGCCCAAGATCTTTGAGGGAGAACCGGGAGGAAAGCATGGTGATGATGGATTGGCAGCGGGTTGCATTGCTTCCTTTGATCACAATGTCGTCAACCTAGACGAGTAGGTATGTCAATGCATCGGGCTCTCGAAGTATAAACAACGAGGTGTTCGCAAGAGAGTTGGTGAATCCCATACCAACGAGAAAATGTCGAAGTTCCGTGTACCTTGCCCTCGGAGCTTGTTTGAGCCCATAAAGAGCTTTGTGGAGCTTGCACACATGAGACGGCCGATCATGATCCACAAATCCCAGAGGTTGAGTCATATAGACATCATCCATTAGTCGGCCTTGGAGAAAGGCATTGTTCACATCAAGTTGCCGGAGAGACCATCCACGAGTCACTGCAATGCTTAGGATAAGTCGGACTGTCGCCGGTTTCACCACCGGACTAAAAGTGTCGTGATAGTCAATCCCGGGGCGTTGGTGGAATCCTTTCGCAACAAGTCTGGCCTTGCACTTGTCAAAAGAGCCATCAGCGTGTCATTCTGTACATGAGTTATATACACGTAGAAGAGAGTAACAATACAGCAGATATGGAGGAGAGATTTGATATAAACAATAATAGCGAGATATCCTTTTGACTTTTGACTCCTTCCTTTACTAACTACACTTTACAATGACTTGATGATCGAGTTTCGAAGTTCAACAATTCGAAAAGAAAACTAACCTTTTTAATAAAATCGCTCTTTGCAAATTCTCTGATCCATCCAGAGCCTTAACCCATCGAAAAAATCAATTCTAAGCAATTCAGATTTCGTAGAATCGAGGAAACTTCTCAAACCGTGCAAAGCCTGCTCCACAATCGAATTGAACAATACATTTTCATTACCAGACGAAATTTTACCAGTATTTTCTCCAATGTCGAAACCCAGAACGGGAATCGAAGAGGGTCCCTCCGAATTCACCTCCTGACGCCATTACTGAATCAACTCGGGTGAAACCTCGAGAGAATTTGAGAGGGGTTGGAGTTGGAATGGGAAAGAGAACACCTTCCATTTTATTTTTACAATTTCTTCAATGGGAGCTTGTTCTTCCTCTAGTTATGGCGGGATTCGGATTCTGGGGCGTTATCCCAAAGTTCACGCCTTTGGATGAAATAAATTTGAATGGCAACAAAATTCGTCCTGTCAAAATAAAGATTAGGTCTTTTAGTGCGTTATGAACTATAAAAATATGATGGTCAATAAGTCTGAATTTTGGCCTATTCGATGATCCAATTCATGGGCCAATATCTAATTTTTTTTTTGGGTTGAACCAATATCTAAAAATTGTGTATTAATTTATTTACAAAATATCTATAAATCCATCCGTGAAAACTCGATTTTCAGATTTGGAATCTTAGGTGATTTAGAAGTCTCACTTTGAGTTAGAACCTGAGATTACTGAACGAATTCGAGAAATAGAATAGAAGATGACACCAGCGAGTTAACGAGTTCGGATTCAATGTGAATCCTACGTCTCGGCCGAGAGAGCTTCGGCAATCAACTATAGTGACTGAGTTTTTACAACACCGATCGATCTCTCACAAAAACCGAGAGTCGTCGAATCCTTTGAAATCCAAGATAAAGAACCCAGAAAGAGGAAGAACTTTTCGAACTTTTGAAAGAAGACGATCTGCAACTCTATTTATGTATCGAGCTGAATCACCCACCTCCTTCTCCAAATACGCCGTCGTTTCTGAGTTAATTAGAGGCAGTGACTAAACGCTGCGTCCTGGACTGTTACCTTTGCAATACTCAATCATTTTTGGTTTACCGGTTAGTTTGAACCGGAACCTTCCTAATGAGTCAAAGTCTTTATTTTCTTAGGCAAAACTTCAACAAACTCCACCTTGCCTGTGAAAGAAAGACTTCACCGTGTTCTCCCTCTGATCTCTCGACTAAGCTGAGCTATTACTCAGCTATCCTGAGCAAGCTCAATGCTGTATTGAACTTGCTGACAGCTAGTGGCTTCGTGAAGATATCTGCGGGGTTTACTTCCGACTTGATTTTCAGAACTTGAATCTTGTCTTCTGCTACGATATCCCTCAGGAAATGCAATCGTACATCAATATGCTTTGTGCGCTCATGATGTATGCTGTTTTTGGCCAGGCATATCTGTAATACCCCGAAACCCGATTTGAATATTTAATTATTAAAAATGAATAATTAAATAGA